CAACCGTCCTCTGCCCGTCCTCGCCACATCCTCGCCGTCCACGCTCGTCCGACAGCCGCCTATCAGAGCGGCGCGCAATTAAACATCGAATCCCAACAACAGTCATTGTGTACTCGAGGCCGGGCACTGGAACGGAAGACCAGCTGGATGTTGGTTCAAATAGATTGTAATTTCATTTGAAAGTAAATACACACAGCGTCGCCGTACACCGGACGTGTTTACTGTCGCGAAACAGTTTCTGCTAGATAAACCCATAGTAAATAACAATACAATTATTAGAACGCGTCGATGCGTGCGGGCCCAAGATACGCGCGCCGGGAGGCAGGCGCGGCGGCGCCTACCCCGGGCGACCGAGCGGTGACGTCACGAGGGGACGAGAGGTCGGGTGGGGGGGGGATGATGCTGGGAGGGGAGGAAACAGCTGAAGGTCTGGGGGTGCGCGGCAACGCCTCCCAAATCCGCCAAGCACGGTCGCAGAGAGCGCAAACAGCCCAACAGGTAGCGCTGTCGCCGTCGTCGGTTGCGAGGACGCCGCTGGTGGCGGTGGTGAGGACCACCCAAAACAGTCTTTATTGGCAACTAGTTATTGATTCGACATTCCTAGGGTATTTATTTATTTAAGTTGATAACACAAAGGCCGACCCGACAAATTTATCACCTTAAAATAGGGTCTAAAAGGCAACTTATGAACAATTTCGCACTCGCTTGAGGATATGTACTCATAACCGACATAGGTATTTTCTTTTAATTTTGCATTGACAATTGTTGTTGTCAACATTACTCGATATTTACTGTATTAATGTGTAAATCGACACGGTGATTTATGAAAAATTAAAGACTTCCTATGAGCCTACCGTAATTTAAACTGTCATTTATCTACCATCACTTAAAAATAAATGCTGATATGTTTTATTTTAGTTCTTACACGTCTTACAACGCTTGTTGATTAATGTTGCTTAGTTTCCTCCAAGCTATTTTAGGTCTATTTTAAATAGTTTGTTAAGAACTCGTTTTCTTAGTTGTGTCATTTCTATTTTTTCTAATATTGTTTGATTGTTGGATATGGTGTTGTTGTTTTATTGTTAGTGATTAGTGGGGGTGTCCAAAATGATCAAGCCTTTTTTTAACGTAAGTCCTCTTAATTTGTTCGTTTATTGTCAAAACAATTGTAAATTAAATTTCGTGTTATAATGTGTTCAATGGCAACCCGTGCAGACATGTCAGTACTCGCAGACTCAGAGTATCGACGTGCTAGTAATTACTTGTCATTTTGTTAGTAAACGCTTTGTTTTCAAGTAGTCAAATTGTCGCTGGGATCAGGCAATTCTAAAAATAGTACATGTTTTTAAATATGAGACGTGAAACATCAAATAATGAGTTCAAAATCTCCCTCAAAAACCTTACTGATAAAGAGGAAAAGGCACGTCTAGGATCTATTGAGGAAGAAAAGTGGCATAATAAATATTTCTCAGCGTCACTGTTTCAACGCCATCTTATAAGCCGTTAAAAACGATTCATCTTCTAATTCTAATGAAAATATGGATTTGCAGGCAGATTTTCCGATGCTAATCGAGAACATACGACCTGGACAATATACAATAAATTAGTTGCAACGCTTTATAAGTGTCAGCTAACTATGAGATATTCCGTGTATATTCTCAGAGCTACCATTGAGTCACTTGGACATATACCGACGAATTTTCAGTAAGCACTCAATTCAAAGAAATCAACAAATAATCTGAAAGAGCATGCGGTAGTCATGAAAGTTGATTTTCAAAACGAGATACCAGACATTATAACTGCTCCCTGGGGTGGAAAACTTTTGTTTACTTTAGAATTTAAAAAAATAACGTCTTCCGATAGTTATTTCATATGGAAATAAATAACAATTTATTGCTGTACCAAGGTTGAAAAGCTCTTTAGGAAGCTTTTGTTTGAAACGAGATTATAAAATGGAATCTGGAAAATAAATTGCATATTCTTTGTTGTGATACTACATCTTCAAATACAGGTCATGTTTATGGTGCCTTCAAACTTCTAGAACAAAAACTTAACAGAGAAACCTAATTTTTGCTCCTCGCCATCATGTGCCACCGAAAGTGTGTTCGACGTGAATTTCAGTCAAGTGAAAAACTTCCGTGATTACTTGAAAAGTGTCTATCCTTATAAATGATTCTTTTTAAATGAATTTGACATCACTATTATTTACATTATGAGCACTTCCCATACATTATTGCAATTGCGAGAACATGTGCTTCAAGTGATTTTTATATAAAGTTTTTCAAAAAAACCTTATGGGAAAATGAGCTCAATAGTGCCCTTATTTAGAATCGCGTAAATGGTATTTTCTCAAAAGAAACTTCATTTTTATCAATAAAAGATTACAAGTAGAACTACGTTTTACTTTTCTAAAATATTCATAAAGTTTAAATCAATTATATTCTTAGGGAACCGAAAAATTGGGAAAATGTAAAAAAATATATTTTAGGTGCCGTTATGTATCAGCTGGGTTTCAGGATGAAGCAATACCGAAAAGTAGCCCAGACTAAAAATATTAGAAAAATAACAAGTAATATGCCTGCACCATTCTGTAGTACCACTAGTTTACTTTCCCGAATATTACTTTCGTAGTAAAGAGAAATTTATGTAATGCTTCAACAGAAAAAGTAATATTTTGAAAGAAAACTCATATCGTGAGATCCTGATACCTAAACAGTGGATAATTCTTCTTCATATATGTAGTAAATAACTTTCTCTCTAACATGTTTTCTAGACAGAACCCACATTTTACGGGACATTGATATCGAAACATTCGTATCCAGCGAAACGTGTGTCCCTCCGACCGTCTGTGTTCGTCTAATAACACTAGCGGCTATACCATAGGTAATATTTTCACCAAACAATTTTTTCGGTAATAAGGATTCGCAACACACGGATTCTGAGTACTCGGTGTGTTAGGGGAAGTAATTTACTATATATTCGTCTATTTTAGATTTATCTAGTTTTTCGTTACCAGGGCCCGGAATTAAGACTTTTTCTGCCAAAAACATTCGCTGCTTTCCGGCTCAAGATTACAATATTTTCTCTTTTTACGAAGTAAGGGTGAAAAAATAAAAACTAGTAGCGTTCCTGAAATTTGTGCTTGAAATTAATGCAATTTACAAAACAAATCTCTCAAAAATGGCCCTAATTGTTTCTTTAAATGTTCTTCCGGGATAGAGTTAGATAGCACAGATCTCATTCTCGTTGAACTTTCAAAACTTTCGAAAATTGCATGACAGAAATAATATGAGAAAGTATGTGCTCATCTACCAGCACTATTTTGTTGTGAAAGTGCTAGTGAATGGCAATAGGCGTTCCGGAAACTCTTAGTTGTCTAGGCCACCAGGAGCATAGAAAGCAGAGTGCCAGTGTTCCTCTTATGGATATTATAATATCAGAAACTTCTTATTGAATTTGTGATGGACGAGGCGACGTCTCATAAGATTGTCTCAGGATTTTCCCCATTGCCCTTCCTCTCACTCATCGTTCATATCTAATCATTATTGTTACTTGAAACATGCATCCAGATTACGTATTCATCTTGTCAGTACGTAACCGTTATTTTGTAACAGCTAGAATAGGTATTTTGAATGCGATTTCAAGAAATTAGTTATTTTATGTTTTATAAAATGTTTTTATACTTCATGCTGTAAGATAGAATGGTGAACATGGTCAATATTTTCCGTATAAGAGCTTAGGATCGGAATAGAATCTAAAGTAGTTGATTAGTAATCGCAAACCCAGCACGTGGATGGATCCGCGTTCGAACCCGCAACCACCCAGTTGAACGGGCGCTCTCCCGGAGGCCAACGGCAGCTCAGCCGCCGCCGGCGGCCGCCTGTGCGGAAGGGCGAAGGGCGAACGGCAAACACTGCGATGCGGGTTGCGGTTGCCTCGCCGTTCGCCCATTGTCAACGCATGGCGTCCTCCCAGGCCGCACGGCCCGCGGCCGCTCCCATTCCCCCACCCCTCACCCTCTTCCTTTCCCGGATAGTTCTTCGTCCTCTCTTCTTCACCGTTCGCCCTTTAATTTTCCCTTCACCTTCCACAATTCGACTTGCGTGTACAACCATCCATTCACAAAACTTCCCCCATCCAAATATTTCCAACATCTACCTTACATTCTGCCAACCGGCTTAGGTGACTCCGACTCATCAGTGGATGATATTGTCTCGCCTCTAACCCAGAGATCCTAGGGTTTGAGTCCCGGCGGTGGCAGGATTTTCTACACTAGCTAGACAGCTTGGTCGAATTCAGCCGCTGTCTGGAGGAGAATTCCAGTGGCAGGCTGCATTTATTGGTAGTTTTTCATGGTTTCTCTTATCAACACCAGGCGAATGCCAGAGCAGTATCCTAACTAACGGACCACGGGCTACGCGAGATATTTCCTTCCTCTTCCTTGCCCTATCCTAATACCTTACCTACACACATTTACACATAAATACAATAAACTCACATGTCGAGTGACCAGACAGGACCTTAGCGCTGGTCCCGGCTGGGCGGTGCACCACGGTAAACATGTTGGTCGGAACCGGAGCTTACTATCTACTAGAGAAAGAGCACCGCCACCTCCCATGATAAAAACCGCTCGTAATTAAGACGTTATTATGACGAACTCGTAATTATGATGACCACAGCAGTTGTCACTCTCTGAAATACGAAATAATTAACCAATCAATAATATTATATTACTTTTGAATTCAATAAAGATATTTCAATAAAAACCTAAAGATTCCAAAACACCTGTGGATTAATAATAAAATGTCTGAGAAAGGATGCATAACTTAAATTTTATAAAACAACGGCTATCCCCATACATCTTTATCGGTGTGAGACGGGGACCATGAAAAAAACATTTTACCGGAATTCAGACGTCTGTGATGAGGTTCTTGAGACAAGTCAAAGGCTGCACTGTATTAGACAAAATAAAAAATTAGATAATCAAAGAAGAATTAGAAGCTCCACCATTAGTAAATAAAGTATAAGAATAAAGTACCTGATGGCTCCAACATCTACACAGAATGAGTACTGATCGCATCGCAAAACAAATATATCACTACAGACCTCATGGTAAAGGGGTATGTCGGCCGTCCATGACTAAGATGGCATGTTGAAGACGGAACAGGAGGGTCTCCTAATCCCTTAAGATATGATGATGATGATGATGATTATCAATTATGTTCTTCCCAAACCACCTCTTCCAACCAATTTCCGTCCAGCCCCTGCCGAACTACGCTGTTCATCACCTTCGCTTTCCATCCACTCTCATCCACCCTTCACCCTTCCACACACGCCCTCCCCGCCTATTCGCATCTTCCGCTCGTCCCTATCTCTCCTTTTGCCTTTACCCCATCTTCCATCCGCTCTCGGTCTTTCCCGAACCTAAACACCATGCACTCATTCCACATCCAACATCCACCTTCCGGCCGTGTCCACCCGTCTTGCAAACTCCGCCTTCCACCCTCTGCCGTCAGCCCACGCTCTCTCCGCCGTTCGAAAACAAA